TGTTAAACATCATCCCCCCGTTACCACAAACTGTCCTATAAGTCTAACAGATCCTTGCCAATCTGATAGCTGAAAAATAGTATTTCAAAGAAATTTTAATTTGCATTTCTCTTATTATGAGGAGTGAGCACTTAAGAGCCATTTCTGGTTTTTTTCTGTGAAATATCAATTCATATCTTTTGCACATTTTTCCCATTGGATTTTTGTTCTTACTGATTTCAGCTCTTATATATAAATTTGAAAACTATTCGTTTTCCTATGATATGAAATGCAAGTATATGTATATAGACATTTGTCATCTGACTCTCACTATGGTCACTTTTGCCTTACAGACATTTTTTGACTCTTTTCTTTTTTTGGTGGCCAGCTGGTAAGGGGATCCAAACCAGTGACCTTGGTCTTATCAGGCTGTGCTTTAACCAAGTGAGCTAACTGGCCAGCCCCTCCTTATAGACATTTTTAAAATTTCTATATAGCTGAATTTATCAATCTTTTTTTTTTTCTTTTCCTTTTTTGTCTTTTTTCGTGACTGGTAACGGGATCGCAACCCTCAGTGTCGCGCCCGTACCGTGACCGGCTATGGGATTGCAACCCTCGGTGTCGCGCGCGCACCACGCTCAACCAGTGAGCGGACCGGTCTGTATATGGGATCCGAACCCTCGGCAGGAGCGCCGCTGCGCTCTCAGGCGCCGCACTCTACTGAGTGCGCCACTGGGCCGGCCCTCTATCTTTTTTTTTTTTAGGGTGTTTACGTTTTGTTTTGTACTTAAAAAAACCTTCCTCACTTTGAGATTATAAAAAATTCTCCCACAGTTCCTTCATTTTTTACTTTCTTTTTTTTTCTTTATGTTTAAATGTTTGATACATTTGAAATTTATCTTGGTGAACAGTATGAGGTGTAGATCCAAGTAAAAATTTTCTAGATGGTTATCCAGTTACTCTAACACCAAATATAATTCCACCTTTGTCTTACTGATTTGAAATTCTACCTTTATCAAACTAAATTCCCATGTATATTTGGACTTTCTATTCCGTTCTATCGATTACAGATAAACTGTGTCTCCATTTCTTTCTTTCTTTCTTTTAGCAGTTGGCCAGCCTGGGGAATCCAAGCCCTTGACCTTTGTGTTATAACACTGTACTCTAACCAACTGAGCTAACCAGCCAGCCCTATGGCTCCATTCTTTCTTGATGGCAGATCCCTAATTTTATATGGTGATTTTCTTCTGCAACCAGTGACTTTTCAGTTAAAATTTAGTACCTGTTTAAATTGCTTGTTGTTTCAGTAAATTTCCATAACTAACCTCTCACTCTGTTTCTTCCTCTCTGCTTTTTAAGATAATGCCACTGGTGCAGAAATCATGAGTTGTTTGCCTATGGTGTTTTGCAGGACCATTGGAGTTAGCTTGGCCCAACCCAAACCAGGCTAAACTGGTTGAGCCCACAGACATCTCTACTGAGCCTGTACAAATGTCCAATGGACAACATTTTGACATCAGAAGGCCAAAAACTCCACCTCCAGATCATGCTAATGCCACCATTTTTTTGAACATGTGACCCATGGAGAGGTGTACAGATGTCTTGTGCCTGTGCAGATCGCTGAATAACATCCTCAAACTCTTTAACCAATCATGATCCCCCATGCTTTGCACCACTCCAACCACCTTCTCCATAAATATACCTTTTTCTGCTGTCAAGAAAGTGGATTTATTTATTTCTCCCATCTTCTCTCTTGGCTGCCTTGTGAATAAACCTTTATCCCTGCTGGAAAGACTAGTGTCAGTATTTGGCTTGCTGTGCATTGGGTGATGGGACTTGTTTGGTTTCACTTCCACTACCACCAGCTCCTCAGGGAAAGTGACTCAAAGATCAGACACAGAGAGTAAATCTGATTGGTCTCAGCTAATACTGGTGGTCTTATTCCCTTTGCTATTTGTTTTTTTTTTTTTTTTTTCCTTTTTGTCTTTTTTCGGGACCGGCAACGGATCGCAACCCTCAGTGTCGCGCCCGTACCGGACCAGGACCGGCAACGGGATCGCAACCCTTGGTGTTGCTCCCGCACCTCGCTCAGCCAGTGAGCGGCCGGTCTGTATGTGGGATCCAAACCCTCGACGGGAGCGCCGCCGTGCTCCCAAGTGGCGCACTGTAGCAGTGCGCCACCGGGCCGGCCCGCCCTTTGCTATTTTTTGATTTAGCCATGGCCAACAGCACTTGAGGGGAAGTCTATCAGGTGGCTACTAGGAAAAATAGTAGCCTATTTTACACATGAAAGGAGGTGGTTAGTTGGCAGTTTGGATATATAACTCTGAAATTTAAAAAAGAGGTCCAGAATGAAGATGTAATTTGGGGGTATTATCACTACATAGATCATATTTAAAGTAATGTGATGGGATAGGATCATCAAGGAGTGAGTGTAAATGGAAAATGTAAAAAGTATAAGTTCTGAGCCCTGGGGCACTGCAGTATTTAGAGGTCAGAGAAATGAGGAGAAACTAGGAGCAGACAGTGAGATAAAAGAACCAGGGGAGTGAAATATCACAGAAGTCAAGAAAGAGGTAGTAATGAGCTGTGTCTAGTGCTCTTGGTAGGTCAAGTAACACATGGACTGAGAATTATTAGCAAATTGGCATCTCCGGTGGCCTTTACAAGAGCATTTCAGTGGGGTATTGGAGATGCAAACATTACAGGAGAGAGTCCCACAGAAAATGGGAAAAAGGAAATCAAAATATCAGTTGATACGACAAGCAAACAAAGGACATTGTTGGGTGGGAGAGGGGAGAGGGAGGAGGGAGGGAGGTTTCGGTAATGGGCCACAATAATCAACCACATTGTATATTGACAAAATAAAATTAAAAAATATATATCAAGTGCAGTACAGGCCACCTTCGTGAGGCCCTCTGCTGTAAAGGAGAGCAAAGAAATAGGGCAGTAGCTAGAGGGTCAAGCTGAGTCAAGAGAGGGTTTTTTGTTGTTGTTTGCATATTGGTTTAAGATGGAAGAAATAAATTCATATTGGTATAATGATGGGAAAGAAAAACAGAAAATGGTGAGATAGGAGAGAGGGAGAACTGCTGAATAGACATCTCTGAGACCTAGTACTTGTACTCCTCAAAGTGTGGTTTGTGGACTAGTGATGGTCTATGAATAGTTTGTCACCAGTTTGTGGCAGAACAATTTATAACTTTTACAACAATTTAACAAAAAAAAATTTATATCTATTGGATCTAATAATAAAAAATCTGAATTAGAGTAGTCAAATTTGTAGAGACAGAAAGTAGAACAGTGGTTGCCAGGGTTTGGGGGGAGGAGGGAATGGGAAGTTATTGTTTAATTGGTATAGGGTTTCGTTTTGGCAAGATGAAAAGAGTTCTGAAGCTGCATGGTGGTGATGGTTGCACAACAATGTGAATGTGCTTAATATCACTGAACTGTACAGTTGGCTCAGTTAGTTAGAGCGTGGTGCTGATAACAGCAAGGTCCAGGGTTCGATCTCTGTACTGGCCAGCAGCCAAAAGAAACAAACATGGTTGAGATGGTAAAAAAAATCTGAGCTTGCATTTTGTATGTCTGCTTTTTAAATTTTATTTTTTCTAGCAATCAATTTTTACTGTATTTTACGAAGTATAGGTCTGTGACTAGGGGAAAACCTGGGTCTTTTAGCACAGATAGTTTGAGAAGAACTGAAGAGGGTTTGACATTAGCTAAAAGACAAATACAGTAACTTACCTATAGTGAGGAAATGAAGGCAGAATAGAGAGGCAGGTTCAGGTAGGTTAGAACTCATGGTGTGTGGTGAAACTTGTGGGTATTCTCTTTTGTTTGCTCCATTTTCTCAGTGTATGGGAAGCAAAATCATCAGTTAAATGAGGATGAGGGAGGAAGTGCTGGAGGCCTGAAGAGACAGAAGATATGAAATAGTTCTTTTGGAGGGATAGTGGGAGACTGTACGAAACTGGAGAAATATAGCAGTAGAGCAAAACATCAAGGGCCCATTTAAGAATAATGATTATCGGGCCGGTCCGTGACTCACTCGGTAGAGTGTGGTGCTGATAACACCAAGACTGCGGGTTCGGATCCTATATAGGGATGGCCGGTTCGCTCACTGGCTGAGCGTGGTGCTGACAACACCAAGCTAAGGGTTGAGATCCCCTTACCGGCCATCCTTTAAAAAAAAAAAAGAATAATGATTATCAAATTTACAGGGAGTCAGTCAACCAGTTAGTATGGTTTTGGATTTTTCTCTACCTTCCCCCGTTTTGCTGCAGGTTCAGGATTGGAGTTTCATCGGTACAAAGAAAGGAGAGAAGAACTGGAGAAATGAAGGTGAATACCTGGGAATGAGTTTCATGAAGGACAGTAGAATCTAAGCTGTTTAAAGAAAGAAGTCAGGATGTGAGGGCAGTGTGAATAATAGTGAAAAGGCAGTAGGATCAATTAATTTTGGGTTTTGGTGGAGTTAAACAGTTTTTGGAGTTGGAGTATTAGAGGGAGAGAGCTAGAAAGAAAGGAGGTTGTGGTGGGTGTCAGATGATTAAAGTTGAGATTACAGAGGGGTTACAGTTATTGGTAATGAGCATGGAAGTGAGAGGCTAAGGCAAGGGTGATCCCTGGAGGAGAACCTGAGAAGCCAGAGAATCGGAAGAGTCATCTTCGAGAATGTTGAAATCACCAAGAATTACAATAGTAGCAAATGACAGTGAACCAAAAGCTAAAATCGTAAAGAATAATGATGAGTGACACAGGGGTCTATAGGTGACTGAAACGAGTGGATGCTCTAGTCTTCTGTCAAGACAATATTTAAAGCTCATTATTTTTGAAGGGAGGCTAGGAGGATTTCAGGAGGCGTGGCTCCTTTAAAGGCCTGGGAGGGAGAGAATCCAGAGGTCAGGCTTGGGGGCGGGATACCTTGGCTGAGTCTGCGCATTGAGAGAGGAGGCGGGGCTAAACTCGGGCTAGCAAGAGAGGGCGGGGCCTTACGGGGGCGGAGTCTGCGCTCCGGTTCGGGCTGCGGCTGCCGCTGCTGCACTTCTGTCTTCTGAGAGAAGGAGGCCGAGGCCTGGGCAAAGGCCCGAGCCGCTGCTCGCCGGAGCCTCCTGGAGCCCCCGCGCAGGCTCAGCCTGGGGGCGGGCTCGGGCCCGGCCCGCCGCCGCACCCAGGACCGAGGCTGCATGCCCGAGGACCAGGCCGGCACAGCCATGGTGAGGGAGGGAGGCCTGCCCAAGCCGCAGCCGCCCGCCACCCTAGCCCCCGCAGGCTTACCCCTCCCTAGCTCTGGTGTTCCCTCGGGCTCCCTGCTTTTACCTCACCCCCTTGTTACCGCCCCAGTCGGTGTCCAGCTCCTCCGTCCTTGTGTTCCCCATCCACCCGCTAGGGTGAACCCCTTTAGGTGACACCCCCTTTAATCTCCCTCCTCCCCGGTGACACCCTTTTTATCACCCCCAGCGACAGCCTCTTTCGCTCTCCCTTTGCTGCCGCCTCCTCGTCGTTTAACCCTTCCTTCTCTCCTCTACCGTTTTGCCTTCTTCTCTCTTCTATGATCTTTACTCCTTCCTTCCTTTTTCCTTCTTGTTTTTCGCTCCTTCTTTTTGCCCTCCCTTCTCACTCCCCTTCACCATTTTATCTCCACTTCCCCCTCCTCTCCGAAGCCCTTCATCCATTCGTCCTCTACCATCCACATTTCCTCTTCCCCTTATCGAATGTCCTCGCTCGCCCACTCTCACAGTCGTCCCCGTTTTCTTCTACAGGCATCAGGGGTCTAAGCAGAACAATTTGAGGACTGTTGCTTCCCAGGAGCTGTAGGGAGGGCAGATAAAGATTCTTAGGCTTTCTTCTTCCTTTTCTTTTTTGGAGAGGGGAAGGAAGAGATGGGAGGTGTTGAAGAGAGCCTGGAAGCCTTATTATCTAGTGTCATTGCAAAATGTGAGTGGAGGTGTGTTATCGAGTGATGGAGTGAGGGTGGGCTTACATATTGTGACCTTATGAGATATCTAGCCTTTTGACTGAAATAGCTAAAAATCTTTTGAAATCTATTTTTATTTTGAGTGTCCTTTAATGTGGAGATGCAGTTTGAGAATTTAAAAATATTTTACAGACTTGACTGTTATTACTTAGAATAAATGATTTGTTTTTGTTTGGAGGCAAAGACCAAGGGCATTGGAGGACTGAAAATCAGCTTGGCAATCAGATTGTGTTAGTCTCTTTAATACCTTCTAAAGGGTTCATTTGTTTTACCCTCTCTGCCTTTAACTGAGAGAACCTTGTATTTGCAAATTTTCTCCTCAAAATAGATTGAGACTTCTGTTGATTTTTCATTGAATTGGGTTACACATGGTTTGCAGTACGTTTGTTGAAAACATTGCTCCATCATATGCAACAAGCTCAATTTTGGTCTCTTGAGAGGATTAAGACATTCTAGTCAAAACTAAGTCCTGATCATCATGTTCTCCTAGAATATTAGTTTCTATTTTCCCTCCATCTGTTGTTTAGGAAAGTGGTTTACTATAAAATCATTTAATCTGTGAACTCTCCCTTACTCCCTGACTCCTACATTTTTAGGTTGTCATTCTCCTTTGTCTCTTTGACTTTCACAACCCATCAGACTGTCATTGTGTGCTATCCTGTTTCTCCCTGTTGAATGTGAGTTCTAGGTGACAACTAGTCCTTACTTATTCTTGTTCTTCACAGTGCCCAGGCCAAGTAGTGCTTGAATGATTCACTTATGGTCTCATTTTCCCATCTGAAAGTATAATCTTAAACTGAAATTTGAGGCAACTCATGGACTATACAGAAAGAGAGTATGAGAATTTTAATTTTGGTACAAAAAGGAAATTTAGTGAGATGAGATGATATTCTCTTCAGAATAAAGAGCCATCCTACCCAAGACATCAAACTGCTAGAGTTTTGGAAGTGTAGGTCCTCCTATTGAGAATGTACGTGTACAGAAGAAGGGGTAATGAACTCCTCTTTGGATATTTACAATCCAAAAATGTCATTTGAGCTGGTCCTGAAAGATGAATAGGCTTTATATATATCATTTTTGGGAAGTGGAAGAATGCTTCATTGTGAATGTGAGTAGAAAGTAGAAAAGAATTAGGTTGTATTGTAGGAAGTAGGATTAACTTTTTTTTTTTTTTTTTAGGATCACCTTTATATAGCATGGAAGGATGCAAGAATGAGGATGTGTAGTAGACAGTGAGGCTGGAATGATATTGTCTTAGTCCGTTTGGACTGCTATAACAAAATACCATATACTTGGTCTTATAAACAACAGAAATTTATATCCCAGAGTTCTGGAGGATGAGAAGTTCAAGATAAAGGTGCCCACAGATTTGGTTTTTGGTGAAGGCTCTCCTCCTGGTTCATAGATGGCAACTTCTTGCTGCGTCCTCACGTGATGGAAGGGGCAAGGCATCTCTCTAAGAGCTTCTTTTATTTTTTAAAAATTTTTTTAATTTTTTTTTTTTTAAAGATGGCCGGTAAGGGGATCTTAACCCTTGGCTTGGTGTTGTCAGCACCACGCTCAGCCAGTGAGCGAACCGGCCACCCCTATGTTGGATCCGAACCCGGGGCCTTGGGGTTATCAGCACCGCAATCTCCCAGGCGAGCCACGGGCTGGCCCTAAGAGCTTCTTTTATAAGGGCGCTAATCTCATTCTTGAGGGTTCTGCCCTGCTCATCTAATCACCTCCCAAAGGTCTCACCTCCTAATATCATCACATTGGGGGTTAGGATTTCAACATATGAATTCTGGTGGGACACAAACATTCAGACCATAGCAGTTATATTAGACATGATTATGTTTTGGACTTTGCCTCCAACTAAGTTGATTTTTCATTACGTGTTGAAACGTGTGCACAGAGTAAGAGTGTGTGTATCGAAGAAGTGAAGGGAAGGCAAAATATTAGCTTTTTGTGATCTGGAAATTATCTGTAGAGGCAACTTTTTGTTTTCCTTGTATAATAATTATGTTTAGTAGGCACTCAATAAATGGAGTTGAATGAATGATTACTGTAAAGCTTTGAGTAGGGCCTGAGAGTTTGCATTTCTGACAACCCATGTAATGCTGATGCTGCTGGTCTGTGACCCACACTTTGAGAACGACTGGTCTAAGATATAATCCTTACTTTTCATTCATCTAACAATGTTTTTGGAGTGCCATTGATGTGTTGGCATTGGGGATATCAGAGTAAAACAAATGTGGTCCCTGCCTTTTTGTATCTTACGCATGTAGAGTAATTTTAAATGTGAAGAGCAGTGTTGTAACACCAAGGTAAAGGGTTCAGATCCCCAGCCTGCTGCCTAATTAATAAATAAATGTGACAAGTTTTAGTACTTTTTTTTTTTTTTTGGTGGCTGGCTGGTACAGGAATTGAACCCTGGACCTTGGTGTTATCAGTGACATTTTCTGACCAACCAAGCTAACTGGCCAGCCCATGTTAGTACATTTTAAATGTGCTAAGAAAGGAGAAATTGCAGCATCAGGAATGGGATAGTCAAAGGTGGCTTCACAGACAACCTTGCTTTTAAGTAGAGAACTGAGGGATTAAATTATAGGAGTTGTGTTATGGAAAGAGTAGTCTAGATAGAAGGAACAGCGTGTGCAAATGACCTGTGGTGGTACTTATTTTGCTGCTTTAACTCTGACATATACTGGAGTTCTCAATTTAAGGAACCGAGGGAAACCCTATTTGCCCTGCCTACTCCTCAAAAAAAAGTAGGTCACCCCCCTTTCTATTATGTAGCTCTTTTTCGGAGAATACGTATCAATTGTAATTTTGCATTTCTTGCTGTGATTATTTGATTAGAATCTGTCTCTACCTCCAGAGTGTAAAAATCATTGATATAGAGATGATTTTTGACCAGCTGCTAAGGACCAGGCCATGTTCTAGGCACTGTGGTTACAGTGATTAAAAAAAGGCATGGTGTGTGGGGGGATGGACAATAAACAAATCTAGAAATATATTATGAGAAGTACAGTAGTTATAAATGCTAAGAAAAATAAACCAGGGTAAGATATAAAGTGATATTTTATATATGTAGCAACTATTTTAGATGGGATGGTTAAGCAGCAACACTAATAGCTAATATTTATTGAACACGACTGTACTACATACTGTTTTAAGCGCTTTACATATTTTATCTCATTTAATCCTCATGGCACCCCATTGAGATAGGTATTTGCTCTATAAAGGTAAAGACCGTGTTTGTTTGGCTCATCATTACATCTTCAACACCTATGTAATGTCTAGTGCGCAATAAATGCTGAAAAAATATTTGTTGAATGAATGAATGACTTTGGGGATGACCAGAAATTCAGGGAGGCTTTGTTGAGAATGGGACATTTGAATTGGGGGTTTTAACAAGTGAAGTTTTATTGGGTAAGAATTTGGGAAGAAAAACCATTCCTGGCAAAGCAACCAGTTTGAGCATAGAAGCTGAGACAGAAGCAGGTGTGATGTATTCTGGGAAATATATGATTCTAACATTGCGGATGCTGTAGGAGATCAAAGAAACTAGGTGAGCCTATGATCAGATCACGGAGTACCTTGAATCGTAGTAAGGAGTTTTGGCTTCATTGTAAAGACCCTGAGTACCTTGAAAGGTTTTTTGTGTGTGAAGGAGTATCATAATCAAGAAAAGATTTTGAGGATGAACAGTCTAAATGTACTATGAAACATGGTTTGGAATGGGGAGAGCTGTTGCACTAGTCTAGGTGAAAAGTAAATGTGTGAACTTTCATCTTTACCTAGTTACAGTGGTGATGATTTCAATTGGAGGAATAAGAGTTTAGGAAATAATATATGAAGATCTGTCATACCACTTTTTGGCTAAGTTAATTTTCCATAGAAGCATCCCTACAGAGTTATAGAAGAAGCGTGAAATCACTAACAGCATTGCAATTTTGTTCACTGGTCCTCAGTTTTCATGGATGCTGCCTTTAGGGATTTATGAGAATATTAAAACAGAGTACATTCACTGTACCAAAGCCCTTTATTTACAAATAGTAGGTCTCCCAAAGGTCAAATATTAGGGAATTAGCACTTCCCAATCTTAAATGGATGCTGCCTTTAGGGATTTATGAGAATATTAAAACAGAGTACATTCACTGTACCAAAGTCCTTTATTTACAAATAGTAGGTCTCCCAAAGGTCAAATATTAGGGAATTAGCACTTCCCAATCTTATTTATTATTATTAATT